CATACTCAGAAGAACGGAAAGCACAAGACACTGAGTGGCGCCCTCGTCGGCCAAGGGACCCCCGTCGGCCGAAAAGGTGCCAACTCAAATTATGGTCCTGAGCCCAAGGAACCCGGGTGCCCTCGTCGGCCGCGCCCTCGTCGGCCGTGCCCTCGTCGGCCACGAAGACCTCACAGAACCGGATTTTACACTCACTTATTTGTACAGCCCATTAGTGGCTTTGTATTCGGCCCAGTAGCGGTCCAGTTGTAAATGGGCCTCCCAAGCCCAAGGCTTGGGAGCCCAGCCCGTATTTTCTCTATAAATACTCCCCTTGGGAGTAGTTATAGGGGTTACAAATTCATTCTATTGAAGCATATTATTGCACTTCTCTCTCTAGCTCTCACTTCTCTCTAGATATACTCTATCAATTTCCATGCAAGTCCAACAAAGTGCCTAGCACGTCAAAACGAACATTTGACGTAGCTATGGAAAATACTAGCGAGGGATCCGGAGAAAAACCCGAACCCAGACGTAGCAAACGTGCTAGAATTCAAAAATCCTTCGGACCGGATTTTCTCACCTACCTGGTAGAAGTTGACTCGGATATTCTAACATGTATGGTAGAAAATGAACCGGATTTTCTAACATGTTTGGTAGAAAATGAGCCACGGACTTATACGGAAGCCGTGACGTCTATTGAAGGTCCTATGTGGAAGGAAGCCATCAAAAGTGAGGTGGATTCTATCTTTAAAAATCACACATGGGAATTGGTTGATCTTCCTCCGGGAAATAAACCTTTGGGATCCAAGTGGATTTTTAAACGGAAAATGAAACCTGACGGTTCCATCGATAAGTACAAGGCCAGACTTGTAATCAAGGGATACAAGCAACGTGAGGGCCATGATTACTTTGACACGTATTCTCCTGTGACGAGAATAAATTCCATTAGGATGATACTAGCAATTGCCGCATTGCGGAAATTGGAAGTTCATCAAATGGACGTAAAAACCGCTTTTCTAAATGGCGATATAGACGAAGAAATCTATATGGAACAGCCCGAGGGCTTTCGTGTTCCAGGCCAAGAAAGGAAAGTGTGTAAATTAATTAAATCATTGTATGGATTGAAACAAGCCCCTAAACAGTGGCACGAAAAGTTCGATCATGCAATGTTAATTAATGGGTTTAAAATAAACGAAAGTGACAAATGCGTCTATGTGAAGAGCACGGTAGACGGCTATGTCATCTTATGTTTATATGTGGATGATATACTCATCGTGGGTAGCAATAATCTAATGATTAATTCTACCAAAAGCATGTTAAATTCTAAGTTTGACATGAAGGATATGGGGCTGGCCGATTTAATCCTTGGGATTAAAATAATTAGAGGACCTGACGGTCTAACGCTAAGTCAATCCCATTACGTTGATAAAATCCTTACTAAATTTAATAAGGATGATTATCAAGAGGCAAGGACGCCATTAGATAAAAATGTACATCTGACCAAAAATCATGGAGAATGTATTTCTCAAGTAGAATATGCTAGGATTATTGGCAGTTTAATGTATCTAATGAGTTGTACCAGGCCTGATATTGCCTTTGTGGTTAGTAAGCTTAGTAGATATACTAGCAACCCCGGTGATGAACACTGGAAGGCAATAGTAAGGGTTTTGAGGTATTTACGGAAAACCCAAAACCTTAGACTACACTATGGAAGATATCCAGCTGTACTTGAAGGGTATAGCGACGCTAGTTGGATATCTGACATTAAGGACTCAAAATCCACAAGTGGATATGTTTTCACTTTGGGAGGTGAAGCCGTGTCGTGGAAATCCTCGAAACAAACGTTAATAGCTAGATCCACGATGGAATCTGAGCTAATAGATTTGGATAAGTGCACTGAAGAGGCTGAATGGCTACGCCATTTTCTCGAGGATATTCCAAGTTGGGAGAAGTCTGTCCCTCCAATATGCATACATTGTGATTGTCAAGCGGCAATTGGAAGGGCACAAAGCAATCTCTACAATGGTAAGTCTAGACATGTTCGTCGTAGACATAACACCATTAAACAACTCCTCACAACGGCTGTTATCACTGTTGACTACGTGAAGTCAAAGGATAACGTTCTTATATAAATAATATGTATAAATATTTATAGGTGGTAAAAAATTATAGTGGAATTTTAATATTTTGCCCCTCCAACACAAATTCTTTAAGCATTGGCCTCTTAACTTGTTTCTGGCTCCGCTATTGGCAAGAAGAAAAATGTTTTGTGTACACATTTTGGTGTATACATTTTGTACATTCATCTGTCTCATGCACATATAATTGTCTATCCACGGACACTTCTGTAAAATTGTCTATGTATAGACAATTTTTCATGCGTGGGACAGACGAATGTATTGTTGGAAAAAGTGTGTTAAAAGTGTATTAAATGGTCATTTTGGGGCAATTATTTGAGTGGGGTCCACTTCCGATTTGGGTCGGGTCAAAGTGGTTTCGGATTGTCCTTGCTAAGGGCTACAGTTCGATATATGGTACACTCAAAACGGATAATGGGTGAATGAGAAATTGTTTTTCAAAATTTACCCGTTGGAATGGAGAAAACTAGGAAAATGTGGGTTTTAGTGTGGGTTCTTTCCCACACCGAAAATCACAAGGGAATTTGAACCCTTTATAAAGGGAAACCCCCCCTAAGGAGTTAAGATTCCTAAAGGGAAAGACTCTCTCACGCGCGTAGGGGGGGTGCGAATCAAATCCCGAAACCGAAGAACTAAAACCACGACTTGCGTGTGCGGGCGACCTGCACACACGAATGCCGTCCGAAAATCAATCTTCTAAAGATAACGTTTTGGGTTGTTTAAGGACTGGAATCAATGCCCAACGTTTAGGACATTAATGTCCAACGATCATAACCCTTAAACAGCCATTAACACACCTTAATCCACCCCTATAAAAGGCTAGTAGGTGCTTTGCAAAGAAACAACTTTTCATACACTTCGTTCACGTATTTTCATAGCTAAAACAGCATCTCTAGCATTCCATACAAACTCCTTCGGTGTTCTGCTTTTGTTCACGTTCGTTGGAACTTTAGTTTGAGTGCTAAACTATTGTTCGAAGTCATCGTATCCTGGGAAACGATCGTTGCAACGCTCCTAGCACCCCGGGAGGCAACGAATACGTTTTAAGGAAATCATGCATAGTACGAGCTTTGGCTTATTCTGCTTCATCTCATTTCTTGTTTTTTCTTTAAGTCATTTTATTTAATTAATCTTTATTAATTAATTTTCTTTGTTTTTTCGAAACACACCCAACATGTACAAAAGGTGTATACATTCGTACAACCAAGAATGAGACAAACATTCGCAAATCTCCTTTCGAGGATCGCATAGAAATACTAGTAAGTTTTCTTGAAGTCAACCATAAATGCTAGTGTGTCACCAAGGACCTAATTCATACCTACAGAAGGAGACACCATCATACAAGGACAGAACTAGACTAGCTAGGATCATGGTGAACGTGTTGTTTACACTTTCCATTTTTGTCAGTACCAGAAAGATCTTTACACTTCTTATTTGCTTTACAAATCTACACCAAACAGTGCCAAACAGTGTCAAATAGTGTCAAACTCCTTAATATTTGTGAAGTCAAAGTGTAAAGATCTTTCAGAACCGAAGAGACTATATAAACATTTTCACTTGTTCAATTTTCCATCATAAAATTAGTGTAATTACTATTCAGCTTAATCTGATCACGACTCTATCGGCCCGTGTCGTCATGTATCATTACCGGACATCGACCACTGAATTTTTATAGAAGACATTCAAGACAACTCAAGTATCCCCGCTGGCTATGGGTTGACTTGAACGACCATACAAATAATAAAATTATAAACTCAAGTACCTCATTCTAAATTCAATCGGTGTTGATCAAGTTAAAAAAAATAGCCAAAGTTGTTTTGAGATGAACAAGGCATGGACTCGGGCCGGGCCGGGCCGGGCCTCGAGTCGGGCCTCAGGCCGGGTCTGACCGCCCTTTTCTTTGGATTCTTGAGGCCTGGAACCGGCCGGGTAGCTACCGGGTCCAGGTCAGGCCCAGGCCAGTTCAGGCCGCCCGGTTACCTTTTTTTCTAGTTACTTCCTACCCCACACCCCATACTCGTTCAAAACAGCGAGTCCAACCCATTCACCTCCCAAAAATTTTGAAAAACAAAAATAAAAAATTGGCCTGAATCGGGCCCTGTCGGGCCGGTTCATTTTCTGGGGACCCAAAGCCCACCCCGAAAATAGGCGTCTGGGTATATAGCACTTGGCCCGGACTCTTCAAGCCGATTCAGGTCGATTCGTTACTGTAGCGGGTCGGGTCGGTTCCGGTCCGATTTACCCAACCTGAGACCACCCCTAAGATGAACCCTAACATGTTGTTTTTGGAATTTTAATCAGCGAGTACGGAGCAATATCTATACTAATATACCGATTGACTACATAATTTTCTTTTTGATTAAAAATGAACAAAAAATGTAATATGAAGGAGTTAAAGTAAAAACAAGGAGCTTTTTACATTTCTTTTTTATTTGACATAGTTTTAAAGTTTTATAACCCATTTAATAACATTGAACTTATGAAACTTATGAAGTTCTAGCTGAAATGACTGGATATACTGATTTTGCTAATTTATAAAAAAAAGTTATTAATAAAAATAAAGAAAAAATAGCTAAAAGTAAATTCAACATCGCTTATTTTGATTATCAAACAATTCAGCGCACAAAAATATGTGTTTTAAAGGTTTACAACTCAAAAATACTATTTAGGCCATATAATATCAAATGTATGTTCAATAAATCACGCACAATAAATTTCATAATGACAATTGACAAATTTAATTTATATACGTAGTATTACTCTTCACAATTGACAAATTTCATCATTATATACAATTGATAAATTTCATGACAATTGACAAATTTAATTTATATACATAGTAAACCTTCATAGATCTAAAGTGGACTTCATTATATTTGCTAGATGTCAAACTTACCCCAAAATCCTGAAAGAATAAATGACTATATATTAAACTTTTAAAACTAAGAAAGTAGGAGTTGACTCGGTCTTCCATTTAGCTTACACGTAGAAAGCCTAACGCCTAATAAGGGAAGAGGGTCCAATGACTCCAATCCGGGTTCACAATCACTTGCGGCTTAGGACTTGGGATTGGCAAGAAAAATTCCCGAAATAAAAATAAAAGCAAAAACGCCTTAAAATTTCAAAATAAAACATCATAATATGAATAATATAATCATATATAAATTCTAATAAAACCAAAACATGACAATAAATTACTCATATTTTGGGAATAAAAACACAACTCTATTTTGAAATACACACATTTTGACTCATATATTTGGGGCTTTTTTTGCCAATGTCTAAGGAGCACAGACACACAGGATCTTTGCTCCATGTGTCTACTGATGAAAGAAAACGTTTCAAACTTTTATTGACGGAACTAGGGGTGGAATTGGCCCGGGTCAGGCCAGGCTCCGGGTCGGGCTTGGGCGGGCTACTGGTCCTGAATATTCAGGCCAAGTACTGACCTAGGTTTGTACCAGGACCAGGCCAGCCAGGTCAAGCCTAGTTTTTTTTGTAGTTGGTAGCCCACCCATTGAAGATCCGGTTTAGGTCCCGGTCCCGGTTCACCGGGTCGGGTTGGGTCTGCTGTCTGCATAGTGCAAGGCAAGGACCCGGGTCAGGCTGACCCGTCTCATTCCACCCATAGACAGAACACAATGTTTCAAGTTTGGACTTCAAATGAGGATATTTGACACACATTCGGAAGGCTCGACTATTTTTAAACCTCTTCCTTCTGTTTTTTGTTTGTATGTTTGACCTTGTTGAGAAGGCAAAAATAGAGAGAATTGAATTTAGAGGACTCAGAGCACCCCTAATTTTATCATTTCTCCCCTAAGTTTTCTTTAGTCTATCTATGTTTAGTCCCTTAACTAATCAAAGCTAACAAATGTTCTAATGTCTATTGTCTACATTCAACATTAAAAAACGAACACATATTTAACCAATTCATATCCAGTCTCAGGTCTCAACTTGGCCAGAATAGGGACATGAAAATAAGATAACACATGCAGAATAACAATGATGAAATGGGAAGAAAAACTTTCCACCATCAACCGATGCAAAGTATTCCATAGTGAACAGTCAGTCAAATGTTCCACACATGGAGAGGCACCCAAGATCACCTGCAGGACACATTCCTATATCTCATCAACTTCACAAGACTGCCTTGTTTATTTACAAGAAAACAAAAATGGTACTATATGTGAGCAACGCACTACTAACCTTCTGCACAACATGATTCATGGAGTTTCATGGCATGGTTAACATGTATAACAATGCCTCGGAGGCTTGGACCACCATTGAAACAAATTATTAGATTCATGTTCTTCATACCAAAACACACTCCCTCCCCCATAGTGTCCTTATTTATTGTTAGAGACCCAAAATTAAACAACAATAACCTACTCACTAAATCAAGATAACTTTATACTAAAAGAGTCCATCAAGTTGGGCAAAAAGATGTACGGATCATTTCAAGATCACATAATGAGCAACCAGACCCTTAACCAACTGATGACACTAAGGACCTCTTTGGTGCTTTCATTAGGAATTACTTTCACTCTCCGTAGTGGAATATAAGCCCCCCCCCCCCCCCCCCCCCCCCCCCCGCCAAAGCCCCATGTAAACCAATTTCCTACGCCAAGAGCAAAATAATCACTTTGCAGTTTACACTAGTTAAGTACTCACATTCCGCAGTCAAATGTGATATAAAAAAACAATTATTTTCCTTTGCAATTACTTCCCCTCATCCCAACTCTCTCCTTACGGTCAAAGTGACAAAAAAAATTTAAGAAGATTTTTGTTCAATAGAAATCAAGTTCGCAAACCATTCAGAATACTATATGCATCCAGCTGTATGGTATAAACCAGTATACTAAACCAGTATAATAAATAAAGAAGCTAAAATAGTAAAAAAGACATGAATCCAGTATACTTATCATAATTAGATACCCCCAAGAACTTCACATATCAAGATTTTATCATCTTGTATGAAAGATATGTAGGTTGACGCAAGAACCGTGCTTCTTTCCGAATTTCACACTTCTATAGTGCAACAAACTGACAAAGGCAGGTGAGTTAGAAAAGTAAAATTGAAACACAAAGCAAACCTTGTCAGAGTCAAACAAAACAGTCAAAATGTCAGTTAATTTAGTAACACAACAAACACCAACCACAGATTACTGAAAGGAAGAAATAAGATGATGTGAGCAAAAAACAACATGACCAAACATAAAACCCAACAGAAGTAGCAACCAATATTATAAAGAAATCCCCCAAAATGGAATCAACAAATCGTCAATGAGAATCGGCAAGGAGGGAACACTTCAGCTCATCTCTCTGCAAATGTCATAACAGTACACAGCAAGGTTAAAGATGTGAGTCCGAAACTTCCAACAAGAAAATTGATGGCAAGAGGTAAGAAATGGTGAGAAGTGTGCTCCAAGAAATCATCCTGTAAAATATTACAACATTACAAAGATGAACAGTTGTTAAAACAAAAAATCTATTCCAAAATGAGTGAACTACGAATATTATTTACCAAAAAATGATTCAACTCATCTCCGTCTCATGATACTTATCATGCATGTAAAAATATCTATGATGATGATGTTTTAAGAATTAGCTTCTCTTTGTTCCTTCTTATAAAGGTGTGTGAGGAAGGGGATCAGGAGTAGCACGCCCCATGCTCTTTTTGCAGGAACTTATAGTATTGATTAACTTTATACTATTAATTGACACTATGAATTTAATATCTCCTGCACCAACTGTTCATATTAAGGTGCTATATCGATTATATATGATGTTAATACTAAGGTTTTGACTGTCTTTACAATCCAGTGTATATCTTTACCACTTTGCTCGTTAGCATGAATTCACAATGATGAATAATTCCAGAAAATCCTTTGCGCTGCATTACAAGCTACTAGCCAAATGCAGTTTGGATTAGGTGACTATGATGATTATAAAAAGAAAAAGAAACAAAAATAAATGTTGGGAACTAAAATCTGACAAAACGCATAAACTTAAGTATGCAAGTGTGGTAAAATCAAAAGAGTAAGACTAAACGTAACATGGTTAATATAATTGTTCGTTCAATTGTCATATACACAGAAAGTCTCTTCATGACTTCAGAATTCTCCAAAACTTGGCCTCATTGCATATAGGCTTTACATACACACAAAGTTTAAAAATCTTTACACCTTGCTCCAAACAGACCACAGTTAAACAGTTAAATGTAAAATTTAACCTAAAAATGAAGAAACCAGAGTACTAATTTACCTTGCAATGGTAGCCATACACCTTATTTCATCTCTGTCATAAATTTTTCATATTCTGCATCTGCACCATACGATGACTTGTCTGAAGTTGGCATGGGAGCAGGTGCTGGAGGGTTTGGGGCCCAAGGAGCGGGAGCAGATGGGGGTGGGGGTGGGGGAGCAACACCATAGTAAGGGGGATAGCTGTATAAAGGCATTGGAGTAGCATATGTGGCCACAGACTGAGCTGGTGCACTACCCTGAGACTGGACCCCAGGGGGGTAACTACTGCTGTAACTTTGTTGTGCTTCGCTAGAAGGAACAGTTTGGGTAGAGGCACCTGAAGTAGTTCCACTAGTAGGCAATGGAGGATGAAACTGCATCATTCCATAAGGAGGTGGCGGAACTGGAGCATAAACGGATGAACCAGGAGGCAGAGGAGGAAACTGGTAGTGGGGATAAGGAGGAGGTGGTCCCCATGGAACTGGAGCACTCCCCATAGGTCCACCTGTGGCATACTGCTGTGAAGGGTAGGCACCCACAGGTTGATTGGTGGGAGGGTATGTAGGCATTGGCGGGGCAGGGGGGCCAGGAGGCAATGTAGGCTGAGGTGGCTTACCCGCAACCCTAACAGCAATCGTTCTACCATCAAGATGGTGACCATTCATACTAGCGATAGCATTATTAGCCTGCTGAACATCTTCATACTTCACAAAACCATAACCCTTAGACTGGCCAGTAACACGGTCCTTAATTACCTTAGCCATTACAATAGTGCCAAAAGGAGAGAACATGTTGATCAAAACATCATCGTCCAGGGTGGGTGGCAAGTACCCAATATACAAATTTGTCTCATCATACTCCTTAGGTTTGACCACGGTTGACCCTAAACCGGGATGTGACGAGCTGACAACCCCACTACCAATGCTGCTACTGGTGGTAGCCCAAGGAGGATTTGTACCTGAACCAACACCATTGCCAAGAGCAAGTGTCCCAGAAATTTGCTTAGTTGAAGACTCAGGCATTGTACCACCCAACTCTGCCAAAAAGTTTTGATACTCATCATCCATTTTCTTGCCTGTTGTATTTTTCATTGGACAATCGCAAGTAGGATGGCCCCCATCACCACACGTTCTACACAACACGTCACTCTTAAAGGTGGAAGTACGGGAAGGGCAAGCGTATTGTCTATGGCCAGGTTCACCGCATAATCTACAAAATTCTTCATCCCTAATAGTTCCGTTCAATGCAGCAAGTTCCCTTAGTTGTTGTCTCTTGTGCTCATTAAGGACTTCGTCAACGGGCTGCAGGAGCTTTTCCACCATGTCCGCAGCAGCCTCCAGTGATTCTTGGGTATCAGCTTCCACCAATACATGTAAATCCTCATTCTCAGAAGGGTCAGGTTTCATGTCTCTTTTTTGCTGCAATCGGCCTTCTTTCATCGAACCTTTTCCACGGATCACTATTTTGGCTCCTGTCTCCTTTTCCATCCTTTTTTGAGTATTCCCTCTTGGTCCAATGATAAGACCGATGAAGTTATAACCAGGGTATTCCTTGACAGGTATGTAAAGCTTCTTATGGAGTTTAGGAGGTCTGTAATCAGCAGGAGGCTTAAAGGCTGGATTTTTCTTTATCATCTGTGAAATAATCTCTTGTCTTTCCCTGTTCAATTTCTCTCTTGCACGGTATTCCCTAGTGTTTATTCTAATTCCCATGTTATCGTAGATTGGTTCAGGTGAGGGTGAGCGTGCGCCATCTGGCCTATCGTCTAGAGGCAATCCTGATTGCAATTTTCTAGTAATCTCAACTAACCTGCTGTTCAAAACCTGAATTTCCGGGTCAAATTCAATACCTCCGGCGAAATCCTTCATAAAATCCGGTAGCTGAATCAGTGGCTTGGGTTCGTCATCCGCCCAGCGTGACTTTCGTTTTCGTCCAGTTCCAGTCCCCGTCCCACTCCCATCACCCCCAGTAGCGGTGCCATCGTTGCTAGACTCGCCAGGCGGGGGATCCCACCTACTCCTTCGCCGTCTTCTGCTTGTCGTCTCCTCTTCCCCGCCAGACTGGTCCTTGTCAGTGCCACTGTGAGTATTAGTCAGCCCGTTCTCAGACAGAAAGTGTTTCTGCACAACGAGCTTCTGAGCGCCATCCTCCGGCGGTTTCTGCTCGGAGACCTGCTGAGTGTCCTGGTGATCCGAATCTAGGGGTTTTTCAGGCATAATTTGATCCTGGGAACATTCCGTGATGGGGTTCGACTGGGACTGGTCTAGGGTTTGAGAGGAGATCTGAGGGTACGATTCAGGATAGCTCTGGGATGAATGTTGGGGAAGAGCTTCAGGTGGAGGTCCCGGCTCAGATTGATAATCTGGGTAAGTCGCCTGAAGCGTGTCCATTAGAGCAGAGCGAAGCTATCAGTGATTTCGATGGAGAGAAGAGAGGCGCGGGTTGAAGGCAATGGGACTTCTTATGCTGGCGGTTTCGGGTTGTTCCCTTTTATTTATTGAAAATAATTGAATATTACTCCGTACAAATTCATACTTGGCATGTCCTCTAATTGAAGTTGAACCTTGGATTAATAAGGAAGTAAAAATACAGGGGCGTTACCTAGTATGAAGAGGGTAGGGAAAGAGAAACCTCTAGTTCAACTCCAAATGACTTGATACGAAATCTCATTCTATTTCATCAAAGTATGATAAAGCTCAACAACATGCATCCTCTCAGATACCTCTTTGCTCGGTAGTAGGTCAGGGACTTGGAACCGTAAAACCGTGAAAACAGATCTGAACCGAACTGAAATTTCTGGGTCGGTTCGGTTCCTATAATTTTGGACTTCACCTTTTTTGGTTCGGTTCCTATAATATTTCATCGGTTCGGTTGCAGTTCGGTTCCGGTTCGCAGCCAGGAACCAAATTTCTTATACATTTCAAGAGTAATCTTCATTTTAGGTGTTTCTGGGTATTATTTTTTATGAAATTTTGTGAGTTTGTTGTTCATGAAATAATGATTATGTCCACCAAATTTGAGCTTAAAATGTAACCGGGAAGTCAGTTAAATAAATTATTGAAAAGCATTAAGCTAAAATTTTAAAAAAACACAATGTTTTTCAATATTTTATTTAACTTACTTCCCTATTGAATTTTAAGCTAAAATTTGGTATATATAATATACATTTCATTTAGAACATGCTCACAAAATTTTATCAAAAACTTCTACACGGAAGCACCTCAAATGTACGTGGCCAGACGGCGTTCCTGGAAGAAAATTCTTGTCAAATTTTTTTGTTTTGCATAATATACCTTACATATTGTGGACTAGACCAATCCGAGTAGTTATTATTTTAATACTTTAGTCCACTTTTATATTTATTGTTTGTTTGTAATTGTATTTGATATTGGAATTCACTTCAAAAATGAATTAATATTCTGTTGATTACGTTGTTTATTACTCCGTATGATGGATAGTGTACTCGGGGGGTAGCTTATCCGAGGGGTTATTGCGGAGAATAACTAGAGAGAAGTCAGAGCAAACAAGTGAGAGAGAGAGTGTATATTCGATATGTATTAAGCGTGGTTTACAATGGGGGAAAGGGGTGCTATTTATAGTGGTAATAAATGCTAGATAAGGACACGTGTCAGTTTTCTGGTGGTCGAGGGGTCACCTCGACCGAGGTGGCACTGGCACTCGCATGTGGCCGCATTAAATGCGGTGGTTGGATGTGACGTTTGTACTTGGTACGGTGATCAAGGCGCATGTGAAGAGGATATTCTGTCGAGGTGGATGCCTTCGGCTGAAGGGTGCTGGGCCGAAGGCTCTTCTAACCGAGGGCTCCTACCTGCCGAGGGCTGCAGGTGCCGAAGGCTTGGTTTTCAAGCCTTGTTCTCCTATGATGCCTCTTCTAACCGAGGGCTCCTACCTGCCGAGGGCTACAGTTGCCGAAGGCTTGGTTTTCAAGCCTTGTTCTCCTGTGATGTTTCTGAGCTCGATTCCGTCACTGGTAGCCTTCGGCCATAGGGCCGAAGGCACCCCTTTGCGTATTGTGGGCTGCTCAGAGCTCCATTTTGCTGGACTTGGCCCGTTTGGGCCTGTTGGGCTTGATTGTAGTAGAGGAAGTATGTGGGCCGGGGGTCCCTGGGCCATATACTCCATCAGGAGTCCCCCACTCCTTTTGCCGAAAGGTACTTGAGGGAAAAGGAGTAGCTGTGGTGATTTCCCCGAAGACTTCCCTGTCCTGTTGGGTGCCTCATTTTCTCAATTCCCCCATATGTCGAGGGCTGAGAGCTTCCTGAAGGGAGTGTAAGTGTGTTGCTCGTATGTGTTTCTTTGTTGTACTTTGTACAGTAATGAGAGATCTGCATTTGTGTACTTTGCCGAGGGCATTTGTTGACTGAAGGCTTTGTGTGGCTGAAGGCATCATGTGGCCGAAGGCATCATGTGGCCGGAGGCATCATGTGGCCGAAGGCATTGTGTGGCCGGAGGCATTCTGTAAGCCGAAAGCATCATGTCGAGGGGAGTAGATTGCCATTGTGATCTTGCCTCAGCCTGCTGTAGCTGAGAAATAGAAAATTTTTAACATTTGCGTGTTTTGCCGAGGGGAGTCCCCCAGTCCCCCACTCCTTTTGCCGAGAGTTTCTCGAGGGAAACAGGAGTAGAGTGATGCATGCCTTCAGCAGGAGCCGCCGAGGGGTGACGCCTTTTGCTCCACAATGGGGAGATGCCTCGTTAAAAACCTCATTAGGAAAAAACCCTGTGGGAAAAAATCCTAATGAGGGAAAAAGAGTACACCGGATGCCCTCAGAATGAAGCAAAAGGAGTGCACCCTTCGGCCTTGATTGTTGAGCGGCGGTTGTGTCCGTGTGCTGAGGGGACATCCAAGATCAGCCTTAGATCCTGCATGAAAAAGCTAAGGAGCTTGTAAGGACCCCCCCCCCCCCCCCCCCGTTATCAAATAAAGGTGACGGAGGGGTGCAAGGCCAGGTGGGCTTGTGTTAGAGCCCCTGGCATCAAATACAGATGCTAGAGGGATGGAGACCGAGGGGTCTTCATGATGGCCCCCGACATCAAATAAAGATGTCGGAGGGATGAAGGCCGAGGGGCCTGTATGATAGCTCCCGACATCAAATAAAGATGGCGGAGGGCTGAAGGCCGATGGCCTGTGTGATGGCCCTCGACATCAAATAAAGATGTCGGAGGGATGAAGGCCGATGGGCCTGTATGATAGCCTCTGGCATCAAATAAAGATGCCGGAGGGATGAAGGCCGAGGGACCTGTGTGATTGCCCCCAACATCAAATAAAGATGCCGGGGGGATGAAGGCCGATGGGCCTGTATGATAGCCCCTGACATCAAATAAAGATGTCGGAGGGATGAAGGCCGAGGGCCGTTGTGATGTGGAATCACGCTGAGGCCGAGGGCCGTTGGTGATGTGAGATCACGCTAAGGCCAAGACCGTTATGACATAGAGTCATGTTTAGGCCGAGGGCCGTCTGATGTTGAGGCCGAGGGCCATTGTGATGTCCTCACGCTGAGGCCGAGGGCCGTTGTTGATGTTGAGGCCGAGGGCCGTTCTGATGTTGAGGTCGAGGGACGTTGTTGATGTTGAGGCCGAGGGCCGTCTGATGATGAGGCCGAGGGCCATTGTGATGTGGAATCATGCTGAGGCCGAGGGCCGTTGGTGATGTTGAGGCTGAGGGTCGTCCTGATGTTGAGGCGGAGGGCCGTTGTGATGTGGGATCACGCTGAGGCCGAGGGCCGTTTGTGATGTGAGATCACGCTAAGGCCAAAACCGTTATGACATAGAGTCATGTTGAGGGCGAGGGCCGTCTGATGTTGAGGCCGAGGGCCATTATGATGTCCTCACGCTGAGGCCGAGGGCCGTTGTTGATGTTGAGGCCGAGAGCCGTTCTGATGCTGAGGCCGAGGGCCGTTGAAATGTGGGATCACGCTGAGGCTGAGGGCCGTTGTTGATGTTGAATCACGTTGAGGCCGAGGGCTTTTGGTGATGTTGAGGCCGAGGGCCGTCCTAATGTTGAGGCCGAGGGCCGTTGTTGATTTTGCGACCGAGGGCCGTTCTGATGTTGAGGCCGAGGGCCGTTGTTGATGTTGAGGCCGAGGGTCGTCTGTTGTTGAGGCCGAGGGCCATTGTGATGTGGAATCATGCTGAGGTCGAGGGCCGTCCTGATGTTGAGGCCGGGGGCCGTTGTTGATTTTGAGACCGAGGGCCGTCTGATGTTGAGGCCGAGGGCCGTTGTGATGTGGGATCACGCTGAGGCCGAGGGCCGTTGGTGACATGGAATCATGCCAAGGCCGAGGGCCGTTGTGATGTGGGATTACGTTGTTTATTACTCCGTATGATGGATAGTGTACCCGGGGGGTAGCTTATCCGAGGGGTTATTGCGGAGAATAATTAGAGAGAAGTCAGAGCAAACAAGTGTGAGAGAGAGTGTATATTCGATATGTATTAAGCGTGGTTTACAATGGGGGAAAGGGGTGCTATTTATAGTGGTAATAAATGCTAGATAAGGACACGTGTCAGTTTTCTGGTGGTCGAGGGGTCACCTCGACCGGGGTGGCACTGGCACTCGCATGTGGCCGCATTAAATGCGGTGGTTGGATGTGACGTTTGTACTTGGTACGGTGATCAAGGCGCATGTGAAGAGGATATTCTGTCGAGGTGGATGCCTTCGGCTGAAGGGTGCTGGGCCGAAGGCTCTTCTAACCGAGGGCTCCTACCTGCCGAGGGCTGCAGGTGCCGAAGGCTTGGTTTTCAAGCCTTGTTCTCCTGTGATGCCTCTTCTAACCGAGGGCTCCTACCTGCCGAGGGCTGCAGTTGCCGAAGGCTTGGTTTTCAAGCCTTGTTCTCCTGTGATGTTTCTGAGCTCGATTCCGTCACTGGTAGCCTTCGGCCATAGGGCCGAAGGCACCCCTTTGCGTATTGTGGGCTGCTCAGAGCTCCATTTTGCTGGGCTTGGCCCGTTTGGGCCTGTTGGGCCTGATTGTAGTAGAGGAAGTATGTGGACCGGGGGTCCCTGGGCCATATACTCCATCACCGTACTTTTTACTTATTCTGCATTACTAGTAGAAAAATAAAATTGAAATACTTTTTAAACCGAGATTTTTGTTACGTTTAAATTTAATGTTGCACTTGCATATTTTTTTATATTCGAACATTGAGATACCATGCATGTATAATGTAATGGTCATAATTTCATGATTTAAAATTTGAATTTTTTTATGTAATTGAAGGTAAAATGTTTTCATTTTAGGAGAATAATAAATTTTTATAAAGAACCGAAAAAAGGTAAGAACCGAACCGAATTTAACTAGAACCGAACCGAATTTAACAACTATATTTTTAACTAGAACCGAACCGAATTTAACCTTTACGATTTCTATACGGTTCTATCGAATTTTAACAAGAACCGAACCGATCTCAGACCTATTCGGTAGAGGACCCTCAAAGATGAGTACCTTTTTTGGAAATAAAGTAAAAATCAATTTAAATATGAAATTATTGTTCGAGTAATTTGAATTCAGTCTTTTTATAGAAAATGTTGTCATTTGAGAGAAAAACCGAACCATACAAACACTTGTTTTTTTACTTCTCGGAAAAATGGAGAGTAAGATTATTTATCTAGTAAAAAGAAAACGAATGACGGAATGAGGTTTTGTTTTGAAAAGTTATATACATAGACAAAAGTATATATCTTACGTTCTTAATTTACCGTTGTCTTGTTTAGTTCAAAAAAGGATATAAATGTAAATACATTCTATGTATATATGAGATTAATATTTGTTTGCTCTTTTGGAAAAAAACTCCATGATTCATGATAAAAATAAAACCTACTAGGAAAGGGAAAAAAACACACACGAATTCAATTCATACAAGACTACAAACACTTGCACAAAAAATTACTAGATAAATATAGTTGTATTATGATAGGAAATGAAAGCGTAAATGAGAATTTTAAAATTTAAACTAAATACACATCTGAAAATACAAATTTGTAATAAATATAACTCCATTAAGATCAATGCACAAAGGTTAATAAATAAATTATCATATTTCTACTGGTACTTGGTTGAATCCGTTCATTTTGAAAGGCAAAAATCAAAACCAAATCAAATATGTCTAGGTTGGTTCGTTTTTGCATTTAGTTCCCCTTTTGCGGTTGGTTTCTTTGACTGTATTTCAATTTATTTTTATTGAGTTTCAGAGCCCGTTTGGTAACATTAAAATTGGTTGAATTGGCTGATTCTGCTGAAATTTATGATGTTCTGGCTGAAGTGGCTGTATTGGCTGATTTTGCTGATTTATGAAAAAATTATGTTTAAAATATTTGTTATTAATAAATTAAACAAAAAAATATATGAAAAAATAGAAAAAATGATCCTCTACATTAACTTCAGCCAATACAGCCATAAACGTAACTCTAACCTTACTTTTTCAGCTTATTACAAAATTCAACGCGCGAAATCAAAAGTTAAGTGTTTGGTGAAAAAACTGGCTGATAAGCCTGATAAGCCGAAAAAAGGGGTCACCAAACGGGCTCTCAGTTTCCTCGAACACATCCCTTGTTTCAATTCAAATAGAATAATAAATAATGTGTATTTTATGTTTCCCTAAATTAGAGTAAATGTGTATAGAACCATGTTGTCCTATTTTGGCATTATATGGCACTAGTATGGCAATATTGATGTCATAAGTGAGTGCGTTTTTCAAACATGATAGTAATTACTTTGATATAAATGAAAAATATGTTGGAAAAATGTGTTAAAAATTGAATTAAATGGTCATTTTGGGGAAATTATTTGAGTAGGGTCCACTCCCGATTTGGGTGGGGTCAAAGTGTTTTTGGATTGTCCTCGTTAAGGGCTACAATTCGATATGTGGTACACTCAAAACGGATAACGGGTGAATGAGAAATTGATTCTCGAAGTTCACTCGTTGAAATGGAAAAATTGGGAAAATGATGGGTTTCTAGTGTGTTTTATCCCACAACGGAAATCTCAATGGATTTTCACCCCCTTATAAAGGGAAGCCTCTTTAAAGGAGTTAAGATTCCTAAAGGTAAAGGTTCTCTCTTACGCGCATGGGGTGCCGATCAAATCCCGAAACGGAGAAGAAAAACCACGACTCGTGTGCGCGGGCGACCTGCAGACACGAATGTCATCCGAAAATCTCGAACCGTTTTCTTTAAGTGAGACACCGCTTAAATGAGTTGTCCCGCTTAAATGGGATACAACTTTGGGGTACTCTTAGCATAACTCTAAACAAACCTAAGGAAAAACGTAGTAATGAATCTAGCAACTTTGGGATTCTTTCTTCCTATTCCTGTGCTTCAAAAATCGAACTGCCTGGAAGTGAAAAGCATTCCAATATAGTTTGAAAACAAAGGCCAAAATGCTTCATCGTAAAATCTTTTTCCAAAATAAGATCTCCAAACAAGTCTTTTGCCGTCATTTTCTTCAGATACATTTTCGTTTAAAATCAAACTGTGGCTTCAGAAACATCGATGGAGAAGAAAACTGCAACATTATCAGAAAATCCGAAAACCATGAAGCAAACATATACTTGCTCAAGAGTAGAGGCCAACACCTTCTGACTAATCCACGAGTTCTCGACTCCATCATCAGTAAATCCAACATACTCCCCACTGATACCGTCCTAGAAATCGGGCCTGGAACAGGAAATCTCACTATTAAGCTCCTAAATGTCGCCGAAAAGGTTATAGCCATCGAGGTTGACAAACGCATGATCGAAATCCTCAACAAACGTGCGACTGAGCATGGCCTGCGTGATAAATTAACGGTAAGATAACTAGCACACGGGAACTGTTCGATAAAATGTCCAAATGAAGTGTTTGTGTTTCAAGAATGCAATATAATGGCACGTTTGATACACGGAAAAATTCTTTTGTTAGTCTCCATCCACTAGTAAATCCTTACATTAATTAATTGCATTGATCGGTTTACCAAATTAATTTCTCTCCTTGAATACTTGAATATATATTTATTGACCACTTGGAGATGAGTGGAAATGTTCTAATGTAGGACACAAGATTTTACACTTGGAGGACCAGTGCACTTTTAGTATTTAGAACACATATAAATGAAAATAAAACTACAGTATATATAATACTGTCGTATATTTGTTTAACAACCAGAGTAATTATATATACTCAGTGCCCCGGACTAACTGTAGGATGCAAGATCGTTACTATGCTCACATGTTTTCCCCTACTCGTTTTCATGCAACAAATTGAGCCATAAGATGCTCCCACCAATAATTGTTTTTATATGTTTGTTTCTATATTTATATTTTTTTGTCTATTGGGTGCTTAACATGCTTTTAAGTGTCATATTCGGATGCATGTAAGGTCAAAAACTAATATATAATTATGAGGTAAATTTTATCTTTGAGGATCCTTTTGGAGTGAATTGGATCCAAACTAATATGATACCAGAGCTTGTTTTGTTTTTTTTGTTCATTGGGCCCATTAAGATTAATTTGTTTGTTGTAAACTTGCAATACATTGTTTTGTATATATATATATATATTTTGTCGATGAGAGATGCTTAATTAGCTATTGTTAGTTTCTTAGATAGTATGCCAAGATGCACTAAAGACCGAGTTTCCACGGTTTGATTTAATGGTAGCCAACATTCCATATGGGATTTCATCACCTCTGATTGCCAAAGTGGTGTTTGGCGCAAATGCATATAGGAGTGCAACACTTTTGTTACAGAAGGAGTTCGCAAGGAGACTACTAGCAAACCCAGGAGACTCAGAATTCAACAGGTTAGCAGCAAATGTGAAGCTGATGGCTGATGTGGAGTTGGTGATGGATGTGAGCAAGAGGGACTTCTTACCTTGCCCAAAAGTTGATTCATCCGTTGTTAAGATCCATCCGAAAGAATCAGTCCTTGATGTCAATGTTGATGAATGGTTGGCATTCACAAGGACTTGTTTTACAAAGAAGAACAAAACGTTGGGTGCGATTTTTAAGCAGAAAAGGATGTTAGCTGAGTTAATGGAATTGCAAGAAGTGAAAGAGGGTCAAGAAATGGGGGAACCGCTGGCTTCTTTTAGGGAGATGATCGTCAATATTTTAAGTTCAGGTGGATTTGATGATAAGAGGCCAGCAAAGCTCACCCATGAAGAGTTGGTGCATTTGTTGTCCCTATTTAATCACGCTGGGATTTCATTTCATGGTCCTGCGAAACTGAAGGATCGAAGAAACTGCTCTTCAGATAATTACTTAGAGGATCCGCAAGACACTTAGCGGCGCAAGCTAGATTTGGTGCTCCAAATTGAGGTTCAATTTTCATACCATCTAGTCTAAAAGATAGTCTCCCCTGATTACAGATTCTACTTGATTTTATTTTGCATTAAATTTGAGTATGAGAATATGCTCCGTATTTATTTCTTATATCGAAAAACACGAGTTCCAATGTGATTTTGCAATACTTGATGTGATTTAAATTGGTATGGTTAGGAATATAAATTATCTCAATTTAATATTCTTTATACAAATTGTATTAGTTCAAGACATTTCCTTTTATACTTAGTCACCTGTAGTTCACCAGTGTGCTCTATATTTAGAGTTCAAGCCAGTGTCGGACGCATGAATTTCCTACCGGAGGTGCGGTAGTGTAAATTAACATATCCTAAAACACACACACACGCATATATATATATATATAGAGGAAAGATCTCCTCAGGCGGTCCGCACGGAGACTGCCGTACGGACAAGGCAGTTTTTGGCCCTTCCAGGTGGAATTTTTTGATGATTTTTTTTGTCATGTTCTTCATCAAGTGTAGATTATCTCCACAAAATTTCAGCTTAAAATCCAATCGGTAAGTGAGATAAATAAATTTTTGAAACATATTGCGCATTATGTAGATATATGGCACAATATGTTTCAATAATTTATTTAACTACCTTCCCGATTTGAATTTTAAACTGAAATTCTGTGTGCTAAAAAAATCATCAAAAAAATTCACCGGGAAGGCCCTCAAATGGGCAAGTCTGCACGGCGGGTCTGGTCAGGCACGCTTGACAAGATCAGTTATATATGTGTGTGTGTGTGTGTGTGTGTATATATATATATTGAAGTAATTATATTTGCTTGATCATTTTGGGGACGTCACTTGCCCCCTCCCCCTTTGTATCCGCCACTAGTTCAAATATCTATGTCTTCTAAATTTGTTATACAATCAAACGCGTAAAAAAATTGTTGAGATGATGGTTCTTAATTTGAATGATCTGACGAAAACATTTTCAGGAAATTTTTAACAAACTTATATTATTTGGTTAACTGTTAGGCTTGAGCGTTTTCTCTAATATTTTAAAAATGAATATATAATTCACTTTATCTCCCCTCCCCTCCCTTACGATTGAGTCGTAATATATTAGAAGCTATTGAAACATAAAAATAATCAGCTACAAGTAAAGACTGGAAATTCCCTACTTATTTTTCTCTGTGTGATATTGTTTTTGTCATGTGATCCCACTTTTATTTATGATTTGTGGGCTTAATCATGCAGTTTGTTTTAGTGATATGTTTCTTTACTCTGACCTAGTCATTGTTTTTTTTTTGCGCTCAATTGGAGGCATTGTGGTTTGCAATAGGTACAATTTCTGTAATGTTGAACTTTTAGTTCTGATTTTGAATGCTCACATTTATTTTTATTTCTCGATGATTATTCGAGTTTATTTTTTTTTTAAGTTTTGATATTGGTCTTTTTCCTTGTCTTTACTCTTTAGTCTTTACTATATATGTGCATACTTATGTTTTCTTGTGTGCTATGTAAAGAGAATCATGATACCACAAGAGCTTTCGTTATTTGACGGTTTTCTGAATGTGAATTCATCCTTTAAATTTGTCTCAAAGAGGTTTGCACTTTGCACCATTACTAATCTGCTATATAATAATAATAAATTAATGCAGCAGAAAATGAAAACTTACTGCATCTTTTCCCGCAGTGTATGGTGGATCACCCAAGACCTCTGGAGCTCATAGGGGTGGAATTTGCTGGGTGGGGAAGCGACGTTTTTACAGAACGGGGTGACGAATTTTTCTTAAAAATGGGGGTGACTTCTGATGCAGTTTTGTAATGTATCTGTGGTTCTTATGGCGAAACCGAAATAAGTTGTGGAATGCCAGGTTTGCTCCTGTCAAACGTGTGAAAAAGAACCTGCTTCTTTTATTGAAGACTGGCGTGGAGTCCAATGGCAGCCAGAAACAAGAGAGCAGAGGGAGCATGGACTATTGATATGGAGGCAGATGGATGTGGATGGAGCGAAGCTCAACATAGAGCTACCGGGTTGGGGTGGGTTGCTCAGGATTGTGTTATTTACAGACCGGGAAAATATGTTCCTTGTGAGGCACAGGCATTTGCAATAAACGAAGCGCTAAGATGGATCAAGCAGGTGGGATGAGAGTCATGAGACCATATCGATGTGGAGTCGGATGCTTTGTAGTTATTGGGGGGGTGTCTGGACAGAAGTAAACAACTCTTCTTTTGAACTTTTGGTTAATGGTATAAGAGACTTATCATGTGAAGTGATTAGCAAATCAGGTAGGGTATAATTATTTTCTCTCATGTGAAGTGATTAGGGCATAATTACTCTCTCATGTGAAGTGATTAGTAAATCATGTTAGCCATAATTTTCTTCCTGGTATTGCATTCTGGTGTATTTCAACTATGGTCTTACCAAAGAATTAAATTTGTTATGGTAAAGAAACTATCTACTTGTATTATTGGCTTTGGATCATCTTTTATTAATACATGGGATAACTTCTGAATTTAAGAATATTTACAAACATCAATCAATTAAAAAAAAAAACATTTAGATCCGAATGAAAGTTAATTATCATATCAATAACATTTTTAGATTGAGGAAGAATATGAAAACAACTCTTTTGATATATTCCCACCATCCCATTATCTTTATCACATCTTATCTTTTTAATTTCTCATTAATTTTAAATCAACTCTTTTGGTCCCCCTGCTTAGGTTCTGCTTCCTTTTGTTTGTTCAGATTTGACATGATTTATGTCCCAATTTGTAGCAATCCATGCAGATTTGTTTTTTGCATTTTGAATGTTCATTCATTTTGAACCTTTTGAAGGGATTGTAGGTTTTTAATATCATATTAGAAGCGTAGAGATCGACGTGATAAAGACATAAAGTTAAGCATTCATGCGTCAATTACATGATCGACGATCTTTGGGATTCATTGAGCTTCTGATTGAGGCTGATATGATCTTGAGTCTATCATAATGATCTCCACTCAAAACTATAAAAAACAAAAGTTGGAGATGTAGCAAATGTCATCTTTAACCTTGCCACACATTCATGCAGCAGTTGCAGGTCATTTTCAACCATGCAAAGTAAGCACACATTAGAGAAGTAGCGACTAGTGATGCTTCAAATTTAGGAGTCAACAACTATTCTTTGAGTTTCGAACTTTCAGAAAGCTTCGGTTCCATTATTTATATCTAATTTACTTTCTAAAACCCAAATTGCTAGAGGAAACTCATCTTCTTCAGGTGAGGCACCCCTGCCAAGTGCCAACCTTTCTTGATTTTCTTCATCATCAAGCTGCTAAGAGGCGATGCTATGATATCCTTGGTCATTATATTTCATTTGAATTTAAATAAAAACAGACATTAAGAGCTGCTAGCAGTTGGGGATGTACCCAACCGGTTCGGCCCGGCCCGGCCCGGCCCGTTACTGTGCGGACCCGCTTCGGCCCGGTTGGTGCTAACCGGGCCCGGGCTTTTACCCAGTTGCGGCGGGTTAGGCGGGCCGAGCTCGGGCCATGTTTTTCTTGAACCGGCCCGAGCATTTTTTTCCCATTTTTTTTTTTGTTTTTCTTGGTTAGGGCTGGGTGTTTTGGGGGGGGGGGGGGTTTGGGGGTGGGGGGTGGCGGTCAGGGGTTAATTAGAAAAAAAAAACAAAGAACTGGGCCCGACCAAGGCCGGACCCGGTTTATACCCGGGCCGATTCCGGTTCTCCCTTTCCCAAAAAAAGCCCACTCGGGCCCAGGCCCAGCCCGGAACCGGTTCGGCCCGTGTCCACCCCTACTAGGGGTAAACGGTGTATATTTTGAGAATAGTTGTTGGGGATGTTTGACAACAGGTGCATGATGGATAGTGTACCCGGGGGGTAGCTTATCCGAGGGGTTATTGCTGAGAATAACTTAGAGAGAAGTCAGAGCACAAGTAAGTAAGAGAGAGAGTGTATTCAGTATGAATGTCGTGGTCTACAACGGGGAAAAGGGGGTGCTATTTATAGTAGCAATAAATGCCGGACAGGGACACGCGTCAAGCATCCATTGGCCGAGAGGTCACCTCATCCGGTTGGCGCTGACAAATGCATGTGGCCGCATTTAATGCGGCTGTTGGATGGGACGTTGTACAGGGTACGGTGATCTGTACGCATGTGAGACGGACATCATGTCGGGAGAGGTGCCCTCGGCTGCAGAGGACTAGCCGAGGGCTCTTGGTGCCGAGGACCCCTGAGTGCCGAGGGCTCCAGATGCCGAGGGCTACTGTTTTCTGCCGTTTTTCTCCCAGTTTCTTAGTTTGCTTGGAAAACCCGTTCTGTGAGAGTTTAGAGCCTTCGGCCGGGGGGCCGAAGGCACCCTTGGTGCGCTTTGCGGGCTGCTTGGTACTCTGGGCGCTGTGATTTGGGCCTGTTGGGCCTTTTGGGCCTGTTGGGCTTTCACTGGAGTAGTAGGAGTCTGTGGGCCGGGTGTTCCCGGGCCATATACTCCATCAGGAGTCCCTCACTCCTTTTGCCGAAAGGTACTTGAGGGAAAAGGAGTAATTTGTGTCTTCTGAGGTTGGTTTGTCGCTTGCATGTCCCTGCTGAAGGCAGTCCCTCAGTTACCCACATGTCGGGACTTGAGGGCTTGCTTTGCCGTTTGTTGGAATTTTTCACCAATTTTGTGATTTAATGATTTTCCCGAGGGGGTCCTCCAGTCCCCCACTCATTGAGGCACTTGTAAAGTGGTGAAAAGGAGTAGAGTAGTTGCGTTGCTGTTGTGGGCCGAAGGCTGACGCTTTTCGTTTCATTTTGGGGGGATGCCTCGTTAAAAACCTCATTAGGAAAAACCCTGTGGGAAAAAATCCTAATGAGGGAAAAAGAGTGCACCGAATTCCCCCAAGGATGAATCAAAAAGGTTAAAGCCTTGGTTTGGAATGAAGCGAAATGTTGATGCCGAAGGCTCTCATAGTCTGAGGGCGTGTTTGTTGTATTGCCAAAGGCACGCTGTTGATGTCATGGGAGGTACCGGGGGGGCCCTCGATCTGGGGATCGAGGGCGTGATGAATGAGGGCAGTGGTTGAGTTGTCACCGGGGGGTCCCCTGCTTGTTGATTAGTTGGTGATGGGGGTATCCGGGGGCTCCCATTGCCTGCGTGTTGTAGGCTATCCGTCAATGAGGCATACTCCCCGGGGGCTATTCGGCCCTTACAGTGCTGAGGGGGAATCCCCGAGGGGTGGCCTGATATGAAGCCTTGGGCTTCTGAAGGAGTGATGCCGAAGGCGTCTGTTATGTACTGTGTGGGTCACAAACCGGGGGCGCCTCTGGGGTAAGCGTACCCGGAGGCTCTCCTTGGTGAAGTGGAGTGAAGTAAAAAAAGTCCGGGGGCTCCCAGAATATAGCCGTTGGAAATATAGCCGTTGGAATACGTAACGTCAGGATATAGCCGTTGGGGGGTACACGTGGCGCGTGATGGTTGGCTGTCCGTGGGCGGCGTCACCGATTGGGCGATACCGCGGTTTGTAATGATGGTGATCCAACCGGAGGCCCGGTTTCCAGGCCCAAGCCCGGATCCCAGCGCCTATAAATACCCCAAGGCCAGGCCACTCTCCGCTGTGCGATCTCAGTGTAGCGAAGCTCTGGCAAAATTTTTCTAGAGAGAGAAACTTGCCCTCGGTTGAATCCTCAGTTCTCAAGGTCAGTTCCCCCCTCCTCTTCTCCTTCTAGTTAGCTGTGCCTTGTGCCCTTAGGCTAGGAGATAGAATTTTCTAGGAAACCCTTAATTCTCCCGAGCCTTCGAATTAGTGAGCAGATGTCATCACAGAGCGACTCCTAGGATATCTCGGGGGAGCCTTCGGTCGAGATGGAGACATGCTCAGATGTGGAGTCCTCGAGCATGGAGTCCTCGGCGGGTGGTGATGCCGCAGTGGCCATGGAAGTGGAGAAGGACCTCCAGGCCGAAGTCGAAGCCGAGGGCTTCGAGCAAGAAAACGAGGACGAAGAGCTCGCCCTCGTCGTGCAAACCGCCGAGCAAGAAGAGGAGAGGGAGAGGATGAAGGTGACGGTTGCCATTCCTCCCCCCGGGGTGCCGGGGAAGCCAGCTCCTCCCAGCCATTGGACCCGACGCCCATCAGTGTGGCTCCCGGGAATAAAAAGAAGATGAAGGCGGCCCCGAGGAAGAAGCAAGCGGTAGTTGATGCCGGGCGACCGGTGGGCATACCCGAAGGCCATTCGTTTCTGAACACTGCCGCTCTAGAGCTGAAGACGAGGGCGTCCCCGGCAGAATACCAGGCCACTCAGATGCTGGTTGGCCCTTCGGCGCGCGTGGTGGAGCCCAGGGCGGATGATTTGTTGCGGTATGCGCCCGAAGGGTGTTTTGCTGTTCACACCCTCTCGGTGGAGATGGGGCTTCGGTTTCCGCTTCATCCTTTTCTCTTGGAGTATCTGAGGTTTGTGGGGTTGCCCCCCTGCCAGCTAACGCCCAACAGCCACTCCTATGTGGCCGGCTTCCTCTCCTTGTGTCAGAGCCGGGGGGTTGAGCCCACACTTGATCAATTCTTAAGGTCCTTCAACCTCTGCCGGGGGGGCATTCAAATGCTGAGGGCTTTGCCAACCTTCAGCAGGTACCGGAGTTCCGGCTTTTCGATGACGTGCCCTCGTCCCACAAGGGGTGGAAGGAGAGGTTCTGCTACATTCGCCTCGAGGAGAACCCCTTCCCGGCCCAGCTCCGCAATAGCTTCCGGCGCCATCCGAAGGTGGGGAGCGCAGCTCTGGAGAAGAATGGCAAAGTGCTTGCCAAGAAGCCGGAGGGGTCTGACAAGCACGTCAAGATTAGAGACGTCACCCTCCCAGAGGAATTGCTTAGCCTGGGCTTCTGGCAGTTCAGGCCGAGGGGCTCTTCGGATGAAAGATACCCTCCCCTCGATCGAGTCTTCGAAGGAGCTGGAGGTGATCACCGAATGGTTCACTGATGCGTTGATAGTTCTTTCTTATTTCCTATCTTTTATGACGTAGTAACTGGTAGCCTTCGGTCTAACCCTCTTGCGTTTTTTTTGTTGCTTGCAGGTAATAATATGGACGTCGGTTCCCTCTTCGCTCTGAAGAACGCGAAAGGGAAGAAGAAGGCCCCGGCGGGCACTTCTGCCAGGGAGGGGCCCTCTCAACCTGCTGTCGCCGCTGCTGGCGCCGGAGGGTCCAAGGGTGCCGGGCCCGTGAAAAAGAAGAACGCCGGCAAGGGGACCGAGCCTCCGGCCAAGAAGCCGAAGACTAACGCCCCTGCCAAATAGCCGATCACCGATGTGGTGGTGATCGTTGATGAAGGGCACGCCTCTGCCTCCACCCCCCAGGAACAAATCAATCAGGAGTTCTTTGGGCGGGAGAAGTTGGAGGCGTTAGTACCGAAGGGAGCCTCCGTGTTGGAGGGCAGTCTGAACCCTTCGGCTCTGATGAGCCAGATGCTGCCGTCGGCTGACCGACTAGCCCTTGCCCG